TCTGGAAATAAAAGTTGATTGATTATACTTCCCTAAACAAGATTTTACTATACTGGTACTACAATGTTTATAATGCATTATGTATTAGCACTCACCTTGTCTTGCCCACTAGCTGCTCAGTGCAGTTAAATGGCCTGATAAGCGTTTAGAACCACAATAGTAATCTGTTAGAGTGATTAGTGTGATGTATTGCTTTGTATTGTACTAGCAGGAATAGTGCAGAGGGCCATTTGAATTAATAAAGGAAGTAAGGCTCAAGTGAACTTCCAAGGTACATTCTGCCATTGGCGTGCCTAATGTTGGCCACCAGCTAAAGTGTTTTAGTATTTGCAACTTTTGTTTTATGTACTTTAGGATGTTTCCACATGTGAAGACACTCTCCATTCGCACAGTCTGACTACAAGCCCACAGCACCCAGCTCTCATTTCCCCATCTGATCCTCTATCATTGCCTGGATACACAGACGAAGAACTTCTGGCCAACAACAACCACCTCAAGGTGAACTATTATATATACTATTGTACATAATATTGTAATTATATGTACAACTTTTTTTTTTTGGAAAGTCTTTCTTTCCCTTTTGACATAAATGTGTGTCCATATATGTATGTGTGTGTGTGTAGTTACCCATCCCAGAGGTGAATGAGGAGCGATGCTGGGAAACAGAGAAGACCAAGCAGAGCCCACCAGGACAGGTGGCCAACAATAGGACACGCTCCAATTCAACCAGTATGTATCATACAGTTATCACTCAGTAGTAACATTACCTGTCAGCTACCATCCACCAGGAGGAGTGAGAACCATTCATTCTAATGACTCTGCATGCAAACCGGTCAGATTTGGGCAGAAAGCGGTACGAACAGGAGGAGGACAGCTAAAGCTTTTAGAGTGTGTAGTAATGACACACGATGAATGGAGAGAGAGAGAGGGTGATGAGAAAATTGTTTCTAATATGTTTATTGTCTTCAGGGAGGTGTGAGGCCAGGGAGTAATATCCTTTTAGCACCGGGAAGCCACACCGCTTATGGGAAATGTGGTCCTAATTGTGAAAAGTGCTGCGCTCACAGTTCCACCGATGTGAGATATAACTGAATAGACTGTATAGATGGAACTAGTGTAATGATACACAGTACAACAGCTAGTTGACTAATACATATACACGCAGCAATATTTTAATCTAATCCAATACTTCACTTTTAATGGACACGCAACTGGAATCTGTTGAATTTGTTTTCAGTACAACCTGGACAAAAACACGGAGCACACAGTGCCACATAGCAAAATTGATCTAGCCCAGTTTCCACACTGGTTCCAGTTTCAACTAAACCTTAACCAAGCCACTTCATTAATACACACATTTGACATATTTGGCAGTCAGTCAGTCCATCTCTCTTCCTCTTCTCATTCCTCCACTCCCCTCCTCTGTTCATTCTTCTAAATGAATAAATGTACTTGCCAAACAACAAACAAGAGTGCTGAAACTAGTCTGGTCCGACACAGAAGAGGGGCAGCTATATTGCTGTATTGCTATATTTGAGCTGAGTGTATGGGCCAGACTAATTCATCATCATTCCTAGGTGTACAATGAAGAGCTGTAAATCACAATGCAAGATGCTAGAATTAAGTGTCTAATACGAGTCCTTACTGCAGCAGGAAAAAGACTTTCTTGAAATTGATATTTTGGTGGACAAGGACCTGTAGTGCCTCCCAGGGGGCAGAGGCAGATAGTGAATAGTCAGTATATATAGGTCAGATATGATTGTACGTGCCCTTTTGATTCTGCAGAGATTAGCACAGTGATAACACTGAAGGCAGAGCCTGTGATTTTGGAGGATCTGTTGACAATATGATACAGTTTTTTGTAGTGTTTGAGCTGCTGTACCAGACAACTTTTAGTATTAAAAATATGTTATATTAATATCATAAACAATATACCAGTATGACAACTCCTTGAGTAAAAATATACAAAAATGTACCACAGAACTGAGTCAAAACTCAACTAATGTAGACTCAACATAAGTTTAACATTTTAAGTAAAGTAACTATATTACGGCTGCAGTATTACACATTACAGACAGCAAGAGGGTTTAAAGTTTTAAGGCTACATACCAAAGTGTATAACAGCTACATAAGTTGTAAAACGTAAAGTGTGTGCCTTTCTAGGGAAAAACATTAAATGTCATATAAAAGCAGATACTGCAGTCTGTGTTTGGATAATAGACCTTTTTCACAACAGCCATTTTGACATGAAATAGGATAAACAATATGTATCAATTAGTATCAATGTTATCACTGATACTAGTTACAAAAATATCTGATACTGATTTTAACTAATTTTGACCAAATAAGTTGTTCCTGCACCTTTGCTTTGTAGGGTAGTATAGCTGTTTTTGCTGCCATATCTGTTTTGTAGGTCACTGTATCCACAAACTTGATTTCAATTCAACCTGATGTTCACTTTCTGATGATACTGTGTGTGTAACCAGGTGTTCATCCTTACTGGATTGGGGATCTGGACAGCATCATAATGAAGACTCCAGAGCTGTACACAGGTCATCCTCACGGGAATAGTGGTTTATATGGAAACAGGAAGTCTCTGTCCCAGCAGCTGGAGTTTCCTCACACCACCTCACAAGTATTTGATTTATCTGATGACATAAACATAATACATTACAGATCACAATGTACATCACTAGAGCACAATACATTAACATGATCAGGCCCTTGAGGTGGGTCCTGCTTTATTTTTCTACTCTCTAGGTCTTTAAGAGTGAAAATCTAGTTGTAAGAGATACTTTGATTTTAGTTTTATTGATCGCTTGTTAAATACATTTGTATTTAATCTAATTACCACACTGCAAACAGTGAAGACATATTGCTGCTAGTAGTTTGATCATATCAACAACAAAATGTGACTGGTAGTGAAGGAAATAATTAAATTGTGACATTATTCCCTTCCTTTGTGTGTGTGTGTGTGTGTGTGTGTGTTCTGTGTCTGCTTCTCTCCAGCCTGTGCACCGTCCCTCCCGTTCCCTCAGCTCTGCCCAGCTGGTACACTCGAGCAGCAACGTGCAAGCCTTCATAATCTGTAACATTGTGCTGATGAAGGGCCAGGGCAAGGTAGGAACCACACACCAAAAACAACAAAATGATCAGAGTTCTTTCTAGTATCAGCAAAACTTGCTCTTCACTCACCACTATACTGTAACACAATAGCACAATATATAAACTATTAACTGTTGCCATACTATCTCTGCATTAAAGCTTGTTTTCTGAAAGGTT